CCTCAACAGTTTGCAGAATCCCCTCACTGATTACACTGTAAATGATAATCTACCTTAACCAAAATCAAAGTAGACTATATATATATATATATGGGTAGAACGGCGTACGTGTACGCGGGTTGCGCATACACGCGTACACGTATTCCTGTATGCGACACGTACGAGCGTGCACGTACTCCCGTACGTGGGAATACGTACAAAAAAAACAAAAAAAAACAAAGTCATCGAAAAAATCTGAAAAAAAAATATGTTATGAAAAATGATATTTCAAACAACGTTTGCCTGAGACTCATCTCGAAATTATGTACCAAACTCGAATTAAACATCAAAGACACAAAAAATAAATAAATTGAAATAACTAAAAAAAAACTAGGAAAAAAAAAAAAAAACCCCCTTCTATAACAAATATATGTTATGCAGAAACATGATACAAACAACTTTTGCATGGGAGTCATCCCCGAATTCCCAACCAAACTCAAGTAAGAAATTAAAAACTTAAAAAAGGGTATATTATCATAATAATTAAAAAACTATTAATTTTTTTTTTTTTTATTTGTTAAGTTTTTTTATTTTTAAATCGAGATTGGTTCAGAATTTGGGTATAACTCCCAGACAAATGTTGTTTGTGTCATTATTCTCTACAACATACGTTTGTTTCAGATTTTTTGGATTGTTTTTTTTTTCTTTTTTTTTCTTTTTTTTTACGTACGTGTACGTGCGATTTTGGGTTCGTACGCGTACGGGGTGCTACCCATATATATATATACATATATATATATATATATATATATATAGAGAGAGAGAGAAAGAGAGAGAGAGAGGAGTAATAAAAAACAATGCCTAGAATATAAAAACAACAACACCAGCATATAAATACAAAAATTCAGTATACAGATTTTTCGTTTCATTCAAGTCAGCAACCGGGCGCACTATGATGAAGGGCAGCGCAAATCATAGCACAACATATCATAACAAAGCAAGGCAAAGTAGATCATACCAGAGAAGAGGAGAGTAGTGTAGAGTAGGGCGGAGAAAATAAGAGAAAAGAAGAGCAAAGCAGGGAAGCAAAGAGCAGGGAACCGTAGAGAAGATAAAAGTAGAGCAAAGTGGAGTAAAGAAAAGTGAAGTAGAGAAGAGTAGGGGAAAGTAGACTGGAGAAGAGGAGTATAGTAGAATCGAGCAGAGTAGATTGGAGTAAAGTGGAGTAGAGTGGAGTAGAGTAAGTGAAAATAAGTGGAGTAGAGTGGAATGGAGTGAAGTAAAGTGGAGTGGAGTAGGGTTGAGTAGAGTGGAGTAGAGTAGACTCAGTAGAGTGAAGTGTAGTGGAGTGGAGTGAAGGAGAGTGTAGGCGAGTGGTGTTGGCGAGTGGAGTATAGGCGAGTGGAGTGTAGGCGAGTGGAGTGTAGGCAAGTGGAGTGGAGGCGAGTGAAGTAGACTAGAGCAGAATGGAGTACAGTAAGGCACAGTGGAGTAGAGCAGAGCAGAGTGAAGGAGTGTAGAGCAAAGCAAAGTAGATCACATGAGAGCAGAGTGGAGTAGTGTAGAGCATAGCATAACATAGAAGAGCAAGGAAACATAGAGGAGAGTAGGGAAGAGAAGAGTACGGAAGAGAAGCCTAGGGAAGAGAAAAGCAGAGAACCGTAGAGTAAAGAAGCGTTAAGTAGAGAACAACCGAGAAGCGAAGAGTAGAGAAGAGTAGGGAAGAGGAGTGTAGGGAAGAGAAGCGTAGCGAAGAGAAGAGTAGAGAAGAGTGGACTAAAGAAGAGTAGAGAAGGTTAAAGTCGAGGGGAGTAAAGTAGACTTAGAGTACAGTCGAGTGGAGTAGATTGGACTGGAATAGAGTGGAGTGGATAGAGTGGAGTGGAGTAGACGTGCGAGTAAAGTCTAGTCGAGTAGAGTAGAGTGCAGTGGAGTGGAGTGGAGTGGACTAGAGTAGAGTGCAGTGGAGTGGAGTGGAGTGGAGTGGACTAGAGTGGTGTGGAGTAGAATGGAGTGGAGTAGAGTAGAGTAGAGTAGAGTAGAGTAGAGTAGAGTAGAGTAGAGTGGAGTGAAGAAGAGTGAAGTAGAATGGAGTGGAGTGGAGTGAAGTAGAATGGAATGGAGAAGAGTGGAGTAAAGGAGAGTGCAGGAGAGTGGAGTGGAGGAGAGTGAAGCACAGTAAAGAAGAATGAGGGTAGAGCAAAGAAGAGGAGAGCAGAGCACAGTAGAGGAGAGCAGAGCATGGAAGCGTAGAGTAGAGAGTAGGGAAGAGAAACTTAGAGAAGAGGAGTGGAAAAGAGTAGAGTCAAGAAGAGTAGGGAAGCATAGAGTAGTATAGAGTAAAGTAGAGTAGAGTTGGTCGAGTATCCTAGAATAGAGTAGAGTAGGGAAGAGAAGAGTAGAAATGAGTAAAGAGGAATAAGAAAGTGTAAAGTATTGTAAAGAAGAGTAAAGTAGAGTAGAGTATCCTACAATATCTAAGAGTAGGTTAGAGTAGAGTAGAGTAAAATCAAATAGAGAGTAAAGAGGGAAAATAAGTGTACGGAAGAAAAAAGTAGAGTAGAGTAGAGTAAAGAAGATTAGGGAAGCATAGAGTAGAGGAGAGTAAAGTAGAGTAAAGTACAGTGGAGGAGAGTAAAGTAGAGTAAAGTACAGTGGAGGAGAGTAAAGTAAAGTACAGTGGAGTCGAGTAGATTGGATAGGAGTATAGTGGAGTGGAGTAGAGTCGAGTCGAGTGGAGTAGAGTGGAATGGAGTAGAGTGGAATGAAGTAAAATGAAATGAAGTAGAGTGGAATGGAGTAGAGTGGAATGGAGTAGAGTGGACTGGAGTAGATGGGCGAGTAGAGTCGAGTCGAGTAGAGTAGAGTGAAGTGGAGTGGAGTGGCATGGAGTAGAGTGGAGTGAAGTAGAGTACAGTAGAGCGGAGTGGACAAGAGTGAAGTAGTATGGAGTGGAGTAGAGTAGAGTGTAGTGAAGTCGAGTGGAACGGAGTGGAGTGGAGTGGACCGGAGTGGAGGAGAGTGTAGGAGAGTGGAGTGCAGGAAAGTGAAGCATAGTAGAGCAGAATGAAGTAGTGTAAGGAAGAGTTAAGTAGAGCAGAGTAGAGTGAAGGAGTGTGGAATTGAGTAGAGTAGAGTAGGGTAGAGCAGAGCATAGCAAAGAAGAGCGGAGCAGAGTAGAGAAGAGCAGGGAAGCGTAGAGTAGATAAAAGTAGGGAATAAAAACTTAGGGAAGAGGAGTAGAAAATAGTAGAGTCGAGAAGAGTAGGAAAGCGTAGAGTATTATAGAGTACAATAGAGTAGAGTAGAGTATAGTAATATCCTAGTGTACAGTAGAGTAGGGAAGAGAAACTTGAGGAAGAGAAGAGTACAAAAGAGTAGAGAAGAGTAGGGAATCGTAAAGTATTGTAAGGAGGAGTAGAGAATAGTAGAGTATCCATGAGTAGAGTAGAGTAGGTTCGAGTAGAGTATAATCGAGTAGAGAGTAAAGTAGGAAAGAGTAGAGTAGAGCGTGTAGATCAAAGTATTGTAACATAAAGTACAGTAGAGTAGATATGAGTGGAGAACAGTACAGTAGAGAGAGAGAGAGAGAGAGAGAGAGAGAGAGACTTTTACACATCAACTTGCGGAGTCTTCTGTTTTTCTCTATCCAATAATCAACCAATGATCAATCAATTAGTCAATCAATTATGTACTGGTGATGTGGCCTGGACCCTTTTACCAGACCGGGCCCAAAGAAATATAAAATAAACTAGAATAAAGTTCAATACACTATTTTAAAAAAAAAAAATTCTAATTTGAATTCGATAAACAATTTCGATGTGACCCCAAGGCAAACGTTGTTCAGTTTATTGTTCTGCTGCTTCTGCACAACATAGTTTTTTTAGGAGTTTTTTTTGTTGGTGTCCGGGTTAGGCCGAACGTGTCTCCAAGGTGGGCAAGACGTTCGGTTGTTCGGCGTTCGGGCTCGGGTGAACGCATCTCCAAGGGGGGGTCAATGTTCTACGTAATCTATATATCTACAAAGAGAGAGAAGTTAGGGCTGGCACGTGGCAGCACGGGCCGCATGGCATGTGGTGCTGCCCTCTCTCTCTCTCTAACATACCATTGCAACCAGTCAGAAGGAGAACACGCATCTAAGTGGAGTCGAGTCTAAAGGCAAGTAAAAGACAATCAACAGCAGGAAGGGGACAGACACACAATAAGCACCAAGGTCTGCAAGGCAACATTATATAGGTTGGAACTTGGAGGCCACAGGGGGGGGGGGAGAGTGCGCACAACACACATTGTCAAGCACAAGAAGCAGGGAAAACACAACCACCGGCTACTACTAGTAGTACTACCGTCTTCCCCCGAACATAACGCACCCTGAAAATGAACGTATACAAGATATGTTTCTGGCCCGATACAGTAAAAATGTGGGTGCTTTGTGTTCAGGGGAAGATAGTAGCAAGAAAAAGCACCAGTCCCGAAAAAAAGAAAGAGCAAATAAAAAAAAAGTGATTGTTTCGTTGGAGTTGCACCGACTCCTGAGGAGGCTGAACCCTCCAAAATCTGCGGAATCCCCCATATTGATGCTTTCCGCCATGAACCCTTTGACCCTTGTTGAGCCCTGGCCCCTAAACGTCCTCCACGCATTCCAAACCTCAGTGTGTGTGTGTGTGTGTGTGTGTGTGTGTGTGTGTGTGAGAGAGAGAGAGAGAGAGAGAGAGAGAGAGAGAGAGATCCACACATGAGTCTAGACGTGCTTGGGGAGCAGATAATCGGGACATTCACTGCTCATCTCTCCATAAACAAGTCCAGAGGAACTGAATGATATTCTGCGCCTGAATCTGGACGTCTTTGTGGAGAGCTGCAGAGTTGCGATTTTCTGCACCTCTCCACAAGCACATCCACTGTGATTCACATAGCGCGCGCACAGCAAGGCGGCCGAATCTGGCGGAGTAGAAGATGAAGTCGCCTCACCTTCCGCGGAGCTCAGTTTCCCGAGCTGAGGCGGGGTCGCACATCCTCCTTGCCCTGATCCTGGCACAGGGAGTGGTGGTGTTGCACCAATAGCAGTTGCCGTAGCGGCCGTGGATCTTGTACTCCGCCTCGGTCAAGCGAAACTTGACCCATGGAACTTGTACTGGCTGTCCATTTCCTGCCTGCGATGCGGATTTTGCCTTCCCATTGTTGCGGGACTTGTTGTTGCTTCGCGGCTGGACAGCAGAACCTGATCTCCGTCACTTGATGCTGGAGTGGCTGCTGGGTTATCTCCACTGTCCTGCTGGACTGCAGCGAAGTGCTGCTGTCGCGGACCAGTTCGTACCTTCTCCACATAGGTCGGTTGCCATGGTGACTTCTCGTGTGCAGCTGACCTGTTGGTCTTGATGATCTCCCTTGCTTTGTCAATAATCTCGGCAAAGGTTGAGTACTGCTCGTGATCAACAAGAGCCTGGCTCAATGCAGCGCAAGACCTGTTGTAGAACTCACGGCGTAGATGCGTGAATGCCAATTCCAAATTGGGCACCGCCGCAATCTTCTGCCACTCCGTGAGCCAATCCCGGGTTGCCGTGTTGCCCTGTGACATGGTGAACGGACGGTTGATAGCAAGAGCCGGCGCGTCGTCGACGATGAACCGCTTTTTCCACAGCCGTGTCAATTCCTCCCATGTGATTTTATCCTTAAAGTCCGGTACGTCGACGCCATGAGAGGTTGCCAGGTGGCTCAACCAGGTCTGGCATCCGCCCTTTGAGTTCAAGAACAGGGCGCTGATGTACGCGTGCTTGGCGACAGGCAGAATCCTGAGTTGCGTTGTGAATGCCTCCCACCAGAGGACCGGATCCTGCTGTGTGTAGTCGTCGAACTTGTCCAGTTGGAAAGTTGGCATCTTGTACATCTTCGGATTCTCATCTGCGCTCGTCGACTGCAGCTGCTGGAACTCGGTCTTCAAGGTATGCAGCTAACTGCTGACGGTGGTTGGCGCAGCAAAGGTGCTGATGTCGTCGAGCATTGCCACTACGTGGTCAACACGTTCCTCTAGTTGGCGGCTAGAGGATGCACTGCTGGAAGCTCCAGCATCTTGTCTTGGTGGAACTTGTTCCAAGTCATGTACACGGGCATCCAGTGCCCGTGTGGCATCCTCGTGCTGAGTCTTTTGGTTCCGCACGGCCCGCTGGAGGTTTGCCAGCTCGGACTGTAGGTGGTTACATGTGTAAACCAACCTGCTCACGAGCTTGGCCATGAACTCCTTATGCTTCTCTTCCAGTGTTGGCTCGTTGCCGTTTGGTTCAAAATGCCAGTACTTGAGTTTCTCGATGCTGCTGGCTTCATGCCGCTGCAGCAGAGCCTGGGCTTCCTTGCGGCGAGCCTGGGCATCTGCGTCTGCTTCGGCCTGTAGCCGCAGCTTCTCTGCTGATGCCGCTTCATCAGCCTGTAGCTGGGCAGCCTTGACTGCCAGCTGGCGTTGTTCCTCAGCCTCGATTGCAGCGAGCTGAGCATGGACACGCTTTTTGTAGTCGGCAATGGGCTCATTGGCCAGTTGGCCTGGCAGGTCCGTCATGTTGCTGACGTGGCACTTTGTCTGACATGGCACTGTGTCTGACGTGGCACTGCCGATGTGGCACTGCTTACGTGGCACTGTCTGACGTGGCACTGCTGATGTGGCACTGCTTACGTGGCACTGTCTGACGTGGCACTGCTGATGTGGCA